CCGCTGGCCGAGCAAACAATCCTGGCAGGTGACACGGCGTAACCAGTGATATCTCTTGGATGTTGGCTGATGTGTGGGACGCTCGGGTACATCGGCCCTCGAGCAGATCGTCAGCGGCTGGACACAGTGCGACAACACTTGGCATTCTGTGCAACTGGCGAGCGCCAATTTCGGCCCCATCATGTCGTGTTGTCGACTGTCGGTGACCTCTTGGTGCTTGTGTGGTTGCTACTGTTTGTTGGCTTAAGCCATCTGCTATCCTATCCCGAGACAGCGCTGAGGCTTCCTTGCTGAGCTGCAGTTGCGTGGCGGAGACAAACCGCAGGGCGATGCAGCTCATCTGTGAGGATGTCTCGGCCATGATACTGGTGAGACTGACCGGCCACGTCGTCAGCGGGTCTCATAGGAGAAAATTAATGGCTATAGTGGATGTCGGGCATTGAGGTAGATCGTAAGGGAGAGTGAAAGAGGCGCAGGTGCGGAAGTCTCCCAATATGCGCCCGGTCCAGGTGGCACAGCTTGAACGAGGGCAGAGGTGTGCGCGTGTGTGTGCAGAGTGACAGTCTGCAGCCCGAGAGATTTTGTCTGCCTTCCGTCAGCTTCGCGGGAAAAAGGTGAGCAAATGGAGGACAGAGATGGGGGGAGTAACACGGCGTGTAGAGTACCGGTAAGATGACGGAGGCGCCTCCAGGACCCCCCATTGAGCAGAGGAAAACGGCATTGAGCTGCTCAGCGCGACTGCGCATGGTATCACCGCTGATCATGACATAATCTCACCCCCAGAGATCCAGCTCGGCGGGCAAACGCTGTGTCAAATCTCTGAGCTAATCGGTTGCGAGGCGGAAACGCTAGCCAGCGGGCACGACGCTGTCCTGTGTCAGTCCACGGCAGCGCATAGAGAACTTCCCGTATGCTTCCAATGAGCGTGTGTACCCAGTGGATATGAGCTGGCGCCCACACATAACCTCAAGCTGGCCAAAGTCTTGAGCGAAGCCGGCCTGAAGTGCGCGCAAAAACGCGTTTACGAAGTGCCACCGCTTGGGGAGGTAGGTGCTCGGGATTGGGAGCCTGCCTGGGGCGGGGTTGAGTAACACGTTGCGGACCAGGTTCCCAAAACAAGGACAACCGAGACGCAGGTGGCACGGTCAACGCAGGGTCACCGCCATACGCCGGCTGCATGTGGGATATTTGACGATCCCTCGGACGAGTAATAAGGCGGCGGGACATTTGGGTAAGGTAGGAACCTCGTCCCACATCCGCGGCCAGGGAGACGTAGTTTGAGGGCGTGGAGGAAAAGTTACCAACCTGGTGGCGTAGAGTGCTTTCTGACTTGATGAGTGTCTCGATATCGCGATAGAGTTGCAGTAGCAGAAGGCAGCCTGCAGAATCTGCAGGTGAAATGAGGCCGTCGAGGGGTACTCTGTTCCTGGTGGGCTCCCGTCGTGGGCCGTTTTGGGAAGACGGTGCGGATTGGCGTGGTCGTGTATGGGATTCTCACAAGCTGCAGCCATTTCATCATCGAAGACATGCCGTGGACCCCTGCCTTCCGGTGGGGCGCTGCTCTGCGCTCCAATCAGCGGTGGCCCTTGTGTCGTCATTGTGTCGATCAGCACTATGGCATCTCCAGGAGCTAACTTAAAATGGCTCCGAGGTGGGGGAGGTGAAGGACAAGCCGCCCCAAGCCTCAGGCACCCACCGCGGCGAGAAATCAGACACGGGGAGCGCTCGTGTGTCCACAATTCCTCCCGTCGGCCAGGTTCACAGCGCCAGCGAAAGCAAGACCAAAAAGGTTCCCGTTAAAGTTGCGCCTCCCATCTGCGTCGCACATCGTACATTGCGTTGTCGTCAGTTACGGGGCACGACCCTTAATCTGCGCCGCTTTTCTTTCAGCTTCCTCCAGTTTTAATTGTCCAGGCGCCGCCCTCCTCGAAGTTCCGATCGACAGCTCGCTTCCCCCAACAGCAGCTCCAAAACAAGTCCCGGCCCTGCATTCCTGTGACCACACCGAGCAACCCCTCGCAGCCAGTTGCTATTGAACGCAGCAAGGCACGGCTTGCTGATCGCGGCAGGGAAACCGGACTCAGAATAAGGTATTCCATCTCCTGACCAGCCCCCCGTCCACCGCTAGGACAACTCCACCCCTCGCCAGTACCAATCGCGGCCCTCGAATTTCCCGCATCTCTCCCACTCTTCGACTCCTCCCTTCCTTTCTGGGCCTCACGCCCTCTTGTCGTTCGCTTCTCCGCGTAGCAAAGAGCCGACAGCCGCCTTTTGCCTATTGGCAGCCAACAACTGACATCCGACTCTGCGCTCTGCTGCCCGGCGACCGTTCCGCGGCCACACACACCCCCACCGCTTCGACTGCGACATACCCTCGACCGTAACTACTCTTAGGCTCTGGGATCCGCCCTCGCCGCCTAAGCCGCCCTCGGATTTGCGCCGCCGTCTCACTCGCCCCCGTCTTCTCACCCCCCCCCCTAAATCCGCCAACGTCCCGACTTTGTGACCTTTTCAGAGGTCGTTCCACTCGTGTGCCCGTGGTCTGACGAATGGTGGCGACGACAAACCTGCCGCGCTGAGGAGAAGGAGGGCAAGATCATCTGTTTATAATATTCGTCGTCCCCTTCGACATCGATCGGACGCACAGTTTTACGATTCCACGCCCGAATTGACGATTGCATCCACACCGTCGGCATCGCGTAATAGTAATGGAGGATAACGGGCCGGCAAACGGGGCAAATATGGGTTACCGATCAGATTCATCTTCAGGGTCATCCGTGGACCTCCACGCGCCAGCGCCCATACGGCCGCGCTTGCCCAGCCGCAAAAGCAGCGGGACCATGATCGTGCCTCGCGACTCCGACGTAGGGCCAGTCGAGATGAACGTTGGGCCCGACGATGTAAGGTCGATGAGCCCCCGAAGAACCAGCGAGGATATCGAAATGCTCGGAAAAGAAGCCAGAGAAGAGCTGCAAAGGCAAGAACACCCACGCGCCTATGTTGCCTGCCTCGTTGCTGACAAGAGCTTAGACACGCCAAAGCACTACAAGACTCTCTCGTTGTTCTATTCAACAGGATCGAGGCAGTCAAGGAGGAGCATGACAAGCTCGACAATAACAACAAGTTTTTGCAGAAGTATATCGGGGATCTCATGACTACCAGCAAGATCACGGCGACTACCAGCAAATCCAAGAAATAATGAAGGCCGTTGGCAGAATTGGAAAGCGACAACGGTGTAGGGAGACGTATCAGCACCGGATGGTTACGACATGAGTTCGATGGTGGCCGAGACTTGTTGACGACCGAGTTTCGATGTGAGAATCGTCACGCGAGCACGAGCACCCACGATAATAACGATGTTAACTCGCCCATCTGGGCGTTTCATGCGCGAAAGGGTCATGACAACAGCCTTTCCATGCGCTATTACAACAGATCGCCCAACAGACAACGGACCATGATCGTTTAGAGAGCGTTGCTTTTGTCCAGGAGCGGGCTAGGTTTTTACGACTGCCACTGAGTTGGTTTCTCTTGTATTACATAGGAGGCATTACAGGATCAGGAGTTCATCGCGATATTTTTGTTTTACTGGCATTGCCGAAACAGTTCTATACCTTGGGTCAACGGTTCAGGGGCGGCTCGGAAAAAAAATTATGTGGACACTCATCACCACTCGGGTCCATCACGAATCGACCAGCACACCTGTGGCTGTTGGTCACATCACCAGGGCGTTTGGCCAGACTTGTTTTTGTATAGGTGTGTGCTACTGGTGACAAACTGATGTACAATACCGCGAGCATAGCAGATAGCGAAGCGTGAATCGATCACCATCACAGCAGGGCGCATTGGAATGTGGAATCAGGTGCTCCGGAGACATGTGGTCCTTGGCGCACAACATGCCATGGAAACCACACATTATCCGGTTGCACTGTCTCCTGACTGCTTAAACTCATCCCTATGCGCATTGGACCCTGAAATTTGCCCGCAGCTGACCTTGCCACCGTAGCCACGACCCCACGATGATTTTGCGGCAGGGCAGATTTCGCTTTGCGTGGTGTTCCCGCTGACGTCACTGGTCCCAGCAACATCCGCGTTCAGGGTTCTCCCCGCAAAGGCTGCTCATCGGTTATCGGTGTCTTGGAATTTGTTTTAATTTTGATCGAGACATTCCAGCTCGGACATGGTGGTGCGGACGACCGGCTCGAGTTGTTTGTTTGCGTCCAGTATGCAATGTATGCAATGCATGCACGAATTGTTCACAGGCGATCTGCGTCTCCTGCAGCGAACTTTTGGGGCTGCGGGTCTGGCCGCATGCGCGGTGGAACTGACTTGTCCATTTCTCCCTCTGGCGGCCGTCTGTCAGGGGCTGTGGAGGTTGGGTTTGGAGACCCAGCAGACTCCAACTCAGGTCCCTGATTTTCAGCTTGTGTGATTTATCCGGACTATTGGAAGATGGTTCTCGGGTGTTTGGGGGGCTGCAGCGCTGCAGGTCTGCATCTCAGCAGTCTCAACACGAGTTGATCGTCTTGGCTCTGCCGACGATGCCGAGACGAACAAATTTTTTGTGCTCGTCTGCATTCGCAAGGAATGATGTGCTCCGCCTTGGATCTTCAAACTGAAAGTCCCTCACTGTTGAACTGAACAGGGTGAGATCGTCTTTTGGTGGGGGTTTTGCGGTTAGAGTACCCCCGCACATCAGCCACATTCCAGATTTGTGACTCCGGAACTGCGAGGCGGCGTGAGGCCGCAGCAGGCCACGGATGCGCACCAAGGAGAGTCTCTTCCAGCATCCAGGCAGCCGGAGAGCGAGTGGTGTTCGGTATTGGAAGGAAAGAGCAAATGGTCCAGCTTGGAAAGTGCAACAACTTCCCGCACCACGCCAAGATCCGAGCGATCGGGGCGACCCCACCAAACGTCCTCCCGTCTTTCGGCATCTCAGAATGCTTTTCCCCTCAATGTGTTGTAATTGCAGATAAGCAACGAACGACACCAAGTTAACACAAGCCCGTGTGGCGCAATTGGTTAGCGCGTCAGACTTTTACCTTCAAGAGGTCATCTGAATGTTGCGAGTTCGAGTCTCGCCATGGGCGGGTTTCTTTTTTTGGTGCAGGGTTGAAGGCTGAAGGTTTTTGACATCCATGTCGGTTCCCGACTCCCACAGAAACACTTCAAATCACGAGCGGTGCTGATGCGGACAGCCATGTGAGAGCATCACATCTTCTGCTGCGCTGCAGCAAGCCAGCGCTCAATATTTTTGAGAGAGCGACTACTGGCACGCTGGAGCCCGTCAGCCTCTTCAATTTTGTGATACTATGGCATCACAAGCAGCCCAGTGTGCATTTACACTGGGCCGATGTTAGCCAGCAGGATCCGGCCCGCAAACAAATAGGGTTCAAGTTGCCGGTGGCCATGTAAAAAATCCAGGCACAGCCGCCTCCTTCCTCTCAGAGGAACATCTATTTTCTCAGACGTCAAATTGCAACCATACAGCCCAAGGTCACACCAAAAATGGAATGTACACTGCCACCCCATGTGGCATATTACCCAGCTCTGTGTTTTGTGGTAGGTCAAGCTCCTGGATATGTTGCTCGACGCCACTGGCTTCGAGAGGTGTCCACCTCACTTTCGAGGCTGGGGCGCTCTTTCTCATTTTCAGTCGACTGCAATCCTTGGTCAGCCAGATGAAAAGGAGCTGACATCGGATCGCAGCAAAGCATTGCGAATCTTGGGTATTCCATCCAGAAACGGCTATGCCTTCCAGATTGGATGGGATTCTTCAGCTCGGACAGCTTGATACCAAACCAGATAACAGAATGTTCGATTCTTTACGCATTACTTCACACGCTGATCAGGTACTGGATTTGCAGAGTGCGTGCAGCAAGATGCCGCGAGACGGACAGGGAAAAGGGGGGAACTCCGTCCCCAAGGACGGAAGTGCCGTGGATGGAAGGCTGTGAGGACTTGTTTCATACGTGGATGGTGTGCATATATGTGAGTTATGTGGTTACTTTCTTCATCCGTCATTGCTTCGGCTGGCTGATGATTTGGATCACAAGATGAGAGTGGGTGTTCGCTTGGTGCTTTGGTACATGTATGGCCAGACCTCCTTTCCAGTTGATTGGATAGTGAACCGATGAAATGATCGACCCTATTGTTTCCTAAATATTCGCTATTTCTTCAGATGCATCGTTGGTGGATGCGAGAGGATCGAAGGTCTCCCGTCGTCTCCCGTTAAATGCCTGATCAGCTCCATCAAAGGCCTTTTTCGGTGCGGTGAGCGCCTTTTACCGTGCAATAGAGGCCCTCTTTGAGAAGCCCCAGACTTTATTGCGCAGGCTGGGGCCGTTGGCGGATGCGCCTTATTGCAGAAATCTGCATCTCCCACATTCTCAATTCGTCATCAAACCCGAGCCGCCTGGCGACAGGGGCAAAACGGATCGCGTGCTCGCGCGACGTGCCAAACTTGGTTGCGTGGGTGCGGGGCGAATAGTGGAGTCAACAATTAACCAGCCATCCCGCCACGAGTCATCCTCGCCCATTCATGAACTCGGCATCCTCACCACATCCACACCGGCGACAAATTGGAGATAATGGCTACAGCGCAGCAAGAACCCGCATTGCCGGAGCGCCAGCCGCTTCTCGGTGACCGGCCGGACTCGGAGGCTGGTACCGCGATCGACGCGGAACGGGGCACGTTCACTCGCAACCTCGGGACAGTTGAGGCGTTTGCGATTGTCATCAGTATCGTGATCGGATCCGGGGTATTCACGTCCCCGGGGTCAATTGACACCAATGTGCCGTCTCCTGGTACTGCGCTGCTGGTGTGGCTCGTAGGGGGTGTTTTGGCCTGGACGGGAGCGAGCACGCTTGCGGAGCTGGGAACTGCCATTCCTGGTGAAGGTGAGCTTCTGTTACTCCTGATCAGTGATACGTGCGTAGGTAGGAGGACTGACATGCCTTAGGCGGTGTACAACCGTATCTGAAGTACATGTTTGGTGATGTGTTTGGCTTCCTCGCGGCCTGGACCTGGATTGTGGCGGTGATGCCAGCTACCCTCGCGATTCTGAGCATCGTCTTCATCGAGAGCATCTACTCGGCGGCAGGAGTGGTTGGACAAGAATCCAACATCGTGCACAAGCTGCTCTCTGTCGGGATACTCGTTCTCATCAGCCTGGCAAACTCGATCAGCACGAAAGCAAGCACCAGACTGAATAACTTCTTCGTTCTCACCAAGTTCATTACCATTGCTGCCGTCGTCCTCGTGGCTTTCTCCGCCGTGGCAATCCATATTTTCTTCAGCGGCAATGAAGAGCAAGACGACCCCTTGGATTGGTACCGGAAGCCGTGGTTTGGCTATCGTGACAGCCTCAATCCCGATGGAAGCATCACCCACTGGGAGGATCTGAGTAGCTGGGAGACTCTGGGACACCTCTCGGCAGCGCTCTATGGCGCTTTATGGGCGTATTCTGGATGGGATAAGGTAAGGTTCTGCCGAGGGGAAGAATCGTTGGCGCTTCTGATGATGGTCTAGGCGATCTATATTTCTGCCGAGTTGTCTGCGCCAGCAAAGCAACTTCCCCTGGCGATCAACACTTCGATCCCCACCATTATCCTCTGCTTCATTGCCGCCAATGCGTCATATTACATCCTTCTTCCTTGGAGGATTGTTTCAACAACGGATAGCGTCGCAGTGGTAAGCCTGAACCCCTTTGATTCTTACGCTGTATATGTGTGACCCCTGGCTGACACAACAAACGTGAAGACTGCCATCACCCATTTCCTCGGCCCAGCATTCGGAACGGTGGCGGCTGTTTTGATATGCTTGGTTGTTGCGGGCTCTTTGCTGGGCAACTCGTTCGTGGCTGGAAGAATGGCTGTTGCCGCCGCCAACATGAATTGGTTTCCCCGGCTCTTCAGTGTCGTCGGACGAGTGGGAGTCCGACCCGTCGAAAGCGACGATGACACTTCCTCCGGAGGCGATGCTAAGGAGCCGCAATCTGATGCCCCCATCAACGCCATTATTCTTTCTTCCATCATTTCGGCCTTGTACATTCTCCTCGGCAGCTTCCGTGTGCTTCTGACCTTCAACGGGTTGGGCGAGTACACTTTCTTCTTTCTCACTGTCTTGGGTGCCATTGTTTTGCGGTACCGGGAACCAAGTCTAGACAGACCATACAAGCCTTCGGTGCTTCTGCCTGTGGTATTTGCGTTGGTAAGCGGGTTTGTGGTCATCAGGGGAGCCATCTTTGCGCCTTCGCAGGCTGTGATTCTGCTAGGGCTCTGGGCATTGGGCTTGGTGTTCTACTCGGCGAGGAGGTGGTTTCAGGGGAGGACCTGATCTTCGTATCTTTCGAGGTCTCGGGATCGACTGCCAAAACGGTGTGATCAGGAACCTGGGCATAGAAATTGGAGTTTTTAGCGAACGCCTGCCTTGTGCTAAAAGGGTAACCTGATTCTTCTGCGTGCAAAACTAAGCGGGATTCTGGGCGTAATACCAGGACGGCACACAGGGAGGAAAATCATCTCTGGATGCAGGACGCTGTCGAAAGCACGGTAATATCTTTTGAGGGTTGCAGATGAATGTGCAGGGAGTCAAACCACCTCGTGGGTTTGGGGGAGAGACAAACAGGCAGGGCACAAAGCTGTCGCCTGCCTGAACCCCTGGCTCCATGGCGACTTCCTCGGGGTCTTATTGAGACCAGAGAGACCCAGATCGACCCCACTCATCTCGGTCATACTCTGGTTCTCTCTTTTCTCCCTCCTCCTAAAGTCCCAGTTCCAAGGACGCCATCAACTTTTTTTGTCGAGATCATTTCCTTTCCCTTGTCCAATTCTCAAGGCAGTCTCTCCAGGAAACCTCGCTAGCAACAAGAGAACAGATTCCTCTTTATCCACCCCAGCTGGGCTTGCAACGATTTTGTGCCATCGATCCAGCCTCTCGTTGGGAGGATGGGGTGTCAATTGGACTTGGGGCTTCATTGTGACTGGTTTGTGCCCTCCGTTTATTTTATGTGTCAGTGCATCAGATTTGAGCTCCTATATGTTGGTGGAATTCATGCGAGCGTCTATGTTGACACAGCTGGCGTCATTAGAGAGGGGGTCGTTCGTCTTGGACGCTGTCAAGTTGTCAACTGCCTGCTGTTTGACATCGCCTTTCCGAAGGAGCCTTCGCCATCTCACTTCCTTTGACGCGCCATCCGTCAAATCTCGCAGTTTCGGCAAACCACTTCCACGACGGCAGCCATGATCCCTAATATCCATCAGAAATTCTCCGCCTTTTCTCGTGGGCGGTTTTCACGGATCACTGGCTATCCGTCAGGCCCACCAGAACACCACCTCTCGAAAAAGCGTTCGTTTCTGGGCCACCTTTCCCTGGGCAGTAAGTATTGTCTCGTCAGCCAAGAAAATAATTTTCCAAACTGACAAGCCTGCGCTTCCAGAATCTTCCGCGTTGATAGTTCTCGGCGAAACCCGGCTAACTAGATCCTCTCAGGGCTTCTGAGGACACCTTCTGGCTGAGCGATGTCTCAGAGTTGCAGGCCGCTGAGCATCCTAACCTGCGGATGGGGAGGATTCCCGTTGCGCAGTTGCGACAACACATGCTATCGCTCCTTTACATGCGGAATGTAACGTGTGAAAGAGGTCGCGTCCACGACCGCGTTACTAACCCACCGTCGTTGACCGCATCGTCGCCGCCGCCGAGTCGGCCAGCTCTGCGTTGACAACGCATACCCTCTTAGCCCACTGGGGGAAGAGAGGCCTCGGTGGCGAGGCTTCTCACTCAAGGTTGAATGATCAGGCTCGCCAACCACGTCATAGGTCGAGACTGGGGCCAAGTCAGGGCTCCACATCGCCTGGAATTCAGGAGGCAGTGGCAGCACTGGATCCAACTTCCCCCGAAGTTCCAGGTTCGGAACCGAGCTTCTGCAGTCCGTCCTTGTGCCTTCCCCACGCCCCCGAGCGGTCATCAGTTCCGACCAACCCCCGAGCCGATTTCCTTTCTGAACAATGGGAGCCAACTCGTTGTCCATCCCAAGAAATTTTCACGGATTGTTTTCAGGTGGTACGGCAGCTGACATCGGTGAATGGG